AGCCACAGGTGATTCAGCAGAGATAGCTCCTCCACTTCTGGGGAGCCAAGTCTCCCAGCTTGAGTCTGTGATCACATCTGCTGATGGAGTAACCCCTGCCACCAAGTCACCGCTGAAGACTAGAGTGCTCATAACCCTCTTCCCCTTCCACAATGTCAGGCCACATTTGAAATGCAGCTTCCTCAGCCCTCGATGCCACCAGCAGGGAGTCTCAACCCAATATCATGATGGCTATGGTTACAGAGCAGCAGACAGCACAGCACTGCACCCTATGCTGGCTGTGAGATGGGCGCATGGGTCACGCAGCTTTCCTCCACGTGTTCTACAAACAGAACCATGAACTTCCACAGCTGGTGGTGACAAGTTATATAAGTCCAAGGTCCTGCTGGGCTAGACACCAAGAAGAGGCCATACCTAGCAGGTTCTGCTCTCTGGGCTTAGAAAATTAACAGGCACTGTCTACCTTCTGGGAGCTCCGAGTTTAATGGAGAACAGACAGACAGACAGAGACACACACATGTTTCTTGAGCATCTTGGACTCTTTGTCAGGGGCTAACTAAGCTCTCTACCTCCAATTTTCAAAGGTTAAGAAGTTTTTCCAGTTCACCTGGCAGAGCCAGGATTAAATCTCAAGTCCTTTAAAACTAGGGCCACCAGCCAGTCCTCCTGGAACACTTCACATGCAAAGTGAAAAGCTTACACACAGTCTAGGAAAGAACCAAAGCCATCAGAAGCACACAAGACACAGCTAACTCTGACTGAGGGAGTCTGGGGGACATTGCAGGGGAGGTGTTTTTTTGGGCTCAGTCACAGAGCTTTGCAAATGCCGGAGACAGCCTCTGCCGAGGGCAGTGCCCTACAGCAGTGAGAAGGACAGAGCCCTGGGGTGTTCCCAAGTGTCTGATACTTGAGGTAGATACGATCTCCTGGTGTGGCCAGGAGCAACCAAGGGAAGGCAGAGGCCACTAAGAGCCTCCCATGTTCAGTTATGGAGTCCAGGTTTGTTCCCAAAGGCTCTGGGAAGCCCCTTAAAGGTTCTTATTGGCAGAAAATTTCAGATGTGAAGTTCAAATGGTCATTTTTATCCCCCATGAAGTGATGCATATTTATACTTTGGAAGACTATGCAACTCAGTGCTCTCTTGGCAAATAAAACCTTTCGCAACACATGGACGTGAAGTCTGTCCCTTTAATTTTATTATGTAGCATGTGGCACTCTGAATTTTTAGAATGTGAGTAGAGAATTGACTTGAGATTAGAACTTAATAAGAGACATCTTCATCTGTCATTTTAATTCCTTTTCCAACACAGCCAATACCCAACCTACCAATCTAATGAAAGGAGTGGTGAGATCAGATGATAGCTTGTAAAGTATTTAGACATGCCTGGCATTAACTTAAGTGCAATACAGGGTTTTGATAAACATATACATACAAAGACAAAGAGGCTTTGCTATCAAGTTCTTAGCTAAACTCCATGGTGATAAAGTAACTTCTGTCCTACCTTAGCCAGCACTGAAGGATGCACCTCGGTGAAGAACATAAGCTAGAGATGTCAAGAGGTAGCTGCTACACTGAGCCAAGCAAGGTACAGTGTCATTTTTAAAAACAACTAGAGTTTTTCTGAATGCACTTGTGGCCAACTTTTGCAAGAACGTTCCTCAAAGAAGACTTGGCACTGATTGATCCACTATTACTCATATATCAAGGCTAAGTTTCCACTAAGCCAAATACCTAAGATGTAAATTTTCATCATTTCATTGTTGTCAAGTGTCTGGATACTTGAGTATGATAGAGCTAGATCCTGGCTGAAATTTTGTGTCTTCATTAGATATTTGTCATTTATATGACACTACCTCAGGAAGAAGTCTAAGTATAGAAGGTTAGAATCATGTTTACACCTGGTATGGTGGCACACACCTGGAATCCCAGTTACTCAGGAAGCTGAGGCAGGCCTGGGCAACTTAGGGAGATCCTGTCTCAAAATTTATTAAGGACTGGGGATATAGTTCAGCAATAGATAAGTTCAATCCCCAATACCAGAAATATAATAAAAATTTAAATTAAAAAAAAACCCTCACATTTAGTGCTTTAAGGCTTAAGGAAATTAAATGACATGCCTAATGTCACAGGGCTCAGTTTGTTTTTCCCCGATTCCATCAATAACCTCAGCAATGATTGACATCAGATTCTGAAGAACAGAACAAGTGACCAGCTTTTTGATGCTTACAACCTTGTCATGTCTATGTACAGAAAAAGACATCAATAGGAAAGACACAAAGTGACTTGCCTTGAGCCCAGCACGTAAAGGCAAAAGCTGACTTTCCCCAGTACACTCACAGATGCACACATGCTTAACAAGTGTCCTAGAATGATACTAGCAGAAGGAGCATTAAGTGTCATCTGGGCTATCCTTATTTTGAAGGTAAATTCTTGCAGTAAAAGGAGCAAGGGAAGAAAAACCAGACCAAAGTTCTCCGATTTCAGTAAATGGGTAGTTTGCTTACATTTCTGCACTTTTATCTAGGCCTGCTCTAAACACTATCTCACATGCTAAAAATGTAAGCTTTGCAAAGCAGGAACTGAAATGTAAACACTTGGGCTTTTGTAGCAAGGGGAAGGCTCTGGTGTGGGTGGCCAGGGAAACCGAGAGTTTCTCCCTGTGACACCACTAAGAGTTTGGAGTGTCCCAATGTCTCCACCTTGTGGACAGAGCCAAAACTACATCAAAATTAATTCACTGACCAGTTAGGGTTAAAAGACTGGTCCAGCAATAAAATGTGGTCTTTATTACAGTATTCAAAGGAGTCAAAGTAATTAGGATTTTAGAGTAGTAGAGTGAATTGAGAATTGATAATGATAAAGTTTGGGGTTATGCTAGATACCAAAAGTCTTCCAAACAATTATAAAAGATTAAATTGTGTGCAATTCACTTTTATGAACAGGTGTACATTACTATTCTTCACATTTATGGAAAATTAGGAATGCAAAATATGCTCTAAGTTGACCAGATCACTTAATTTATCAGTGCATCAGCTTTCCCACCAGTTCCAGATAGCAGAAATTTGTTATATCATTAAGAGTCTGGTGGCTTTCATTTTCAAAGATTTTTACTACTACAAAGGAAAGCACCTCTGTTACAGCTTGGAATGTCTAGAATGTATCCCTAAGGCTCTGGTGTTGAAGCCTTGGTCCCCAGCTGGTGGTGCTATTGGCAGGTGGTAGAGACTTCTGGGGGCAGGGCCTACATGGAGGAAGTAAGTCACTAGAGGTGTGTTCTTGAAGGGAATATCTAGTCCCTGGCCTCTTTCTCCCTGGCTGCCATAAGGTGAGCAGCTTTCTCCACCACATGCTCCCCACCATGCTGTTCTGCTTCACCACAGGAGTGGAAACAATGGAGCCAAGTCATCTTGGACTACATCTCTGAAACCATAAGCCAAAATAAATCTTTTCTCCTTTAAGTTGACTTATCTCAGGTATTTTGTCACAGCAATGGAAAGTTGATTAGCACAACTGCTATGCCAATGCTTCTAATTAAATAAAAGAACAATTTTAGTCATACAGACAGACCTATGCAAAATTTAAAAATTTTCGAAATAAACTCTAGCAGTTGTGCTATTTCAATGCAGCAGTACAGTGCTAGGCAAGAGCGTTCCATGTGGTTAAGAATGATGAGCCACTGGCCATAGGCTCTGCCTCTTGACAGCTGCATAACCATGGCAAGTTATTGGACTTGCCTTCTTGAACTTCAGTTTCCTCATCTATAAAATGGGGATTATGAGATCATTCACTTCAAAGGACTGCTGTGAGGACAGAGCAAGATAATACATGTAGCGCACCCGCACCCTTCTCCGCACATCACAGGGGAGTTGGCTATTATTAAAATTGTGAAAATACTGACTCATCCAGGGGGTTCGTGACTATCATTTTCATGGAAATGAGTGGCATAATTATTCTATTCCTGATTTTCCTTATATGTAATTTTCATCACTAGAACCATTTAGAGGTGGAAAAGACCTTGGAGAACTTTTGGACAAGTCCCGTTGATAAATTAAGAAGTCTCAGTCAAGTGAGATTAAAAAAACGCACCTTATTTGTGCAGTGATCTCAAAGTGAAGCTACAAATAGGAAGCCAGGCCTCAAGCTACACAAAGCCGTGACACGGTCATCTAAAAGGTCCTTAGTAACCTCTCATCACTATCCTTAACTTTACACATGAACCAATCAAGAAACAGGGCGGTTAGGGTTTGTTCCTTCGTTCACTGGCCCATGGGCTCATTCATTCAGCTTTATTTATAAGCTCCTATTGTGTCATTGCAGAAGTGACTCCGTGGTGAAGAAGCAAGGCAATACTCCAGTTTCATGGTGCAAGAGGTTGCAAGTACCAGAGAGGGCAGGGAAACAATAAGGTTTGCACCCAACACAGGGTGACAGAGGTAACTGGCGCAGGGGCAGGACACAAACTACTTCAAACTAGGCGGTCAAAAAGGACCCATTCACAGAGGTGTCAACGGAGCAGCAAGTGGAACTAGCCATGCAGAGATCTGGAAGCAGAATCCAGGACCAGAAATGAGCACAAAGGCTCTTTTTTGGAAGATGGAAGAATGGAAGGAGCAGCAGCAAGGAAAGAGCAAGGTGGGGGAAGACTGATTAGGTTGGAGAGGCAGGTCCCTCAGGACTGGGTAGGCCGTGCTAAAAGGTGGGGACGCAGCTCAGTGCAAGGTTTGTTTAAGGGACCGAGGTGGCAGGTTTGTTTTCCAGTGTCACTCTGGCAGCTGGTGGGGACTTGAGAGTTACTAGCCAAACCTGTCTACCCAGGTGTTGTGACTCAGCCCAGCAGTGTCCGTGCCACGCCACGCAGCCGCCAACACGGACGGCAGMCACCGAGGCAGCCAGAGTGATCTGCTCCAAACTGAAGTAAAGGCCGTRCAAAAGGGAAAGCAGGGGCCAAGGCTTCTCCCGCTTGGCTAAACGACAGACAGGAGCCCAGGCACTCACTCACCCGCTGGTGATATCGTCAGCTCGGATGTTCTTGCTGAGGACGTCCCCATCACTCATGTAGCCAGGGGCATCCATGCTGATGCCCTCCAGGTCCACCTCATCTCCTGCYTTGTCTGACACATCCACGTGGCAGATGCTGCTGCCCCTGGAGGCCAGCTGCCTCCTCAGGGGGGCGGAGTACACATAGCGGCCTGACTCGGTGCTGATGAACCGGCTGGCGTTGGCTCGAGGTGGGTACCCGTTGCCCATGGAGGGGGCGTCTCCTGCCTGAAGCCGAGGACTGGACTGGCCAAGTCTCCAGGACAGAGGGGTGGGCCTCCCCGTCAAGCTGAGAATGCTACGGCCACTTATCTCTGTGGTGACGTTGGTATCGAACGTGGTTTCCAATGTGCTAAAAACGTGAAAACAACCAGGGTTAGACCCTAACATGCCTAGGATCCTCTGTGGTTTGTACGTGCTTTAATTTTTTTTTTTAGAATGATAAAGAATTCCTCCTATATAAAGTATATAAGAGGCACCAGGTACCAAGGAGTGTGTTTCCTCTGCTCAAGATGGTGAAAAAGGGAAGTTGCACATCTAGACAATGATCTAAAAGGGCCAGGAGACCTTTTCCCTGAGGCAAAGTATAACATCCTGTCCCAGTGACTTTAATTAAACTACTGGAATATTCTTTCCAATTCAGGAAAGGAAATGGAGAATGCTGAACCAACAAAGACGCGGCCTAAAGGTTCCTGACTGCCYTTTCGTTTGAGAATTGCTGTTCTCTTCCTTTAGGGAAGGATGCACCAGTCTATCTGAAGCTCCTAATGCCATATCTCACGTCCTTAGTCCCTCCCAGCTGAAGAGAGGATATAGCTCTCATCCTCTGACCCGCCAAGGTCCATTTCCCCCAGACCTTTGCTTCTCCTACTCTTTGTCCAAAAAGACCCAAGAGACTGCCCAATGCCAGGGCTAATAAATCATGTCACATGGGTGGGAATCTTCTAGGGAACCAAGCTCATCCTTAGGCATCAGAAAGACCCTTTAWGCTYCATCATCATCGGAGCCCTGCGTGCTCTGTGCATGATCAATCAGATCATCTGTATCTCCTTAGAATAGCAGTCAGCTTTCCTAAGTGGGCATGGAGTGAGATTCTGTCTTGCAGAGAAAAAAAAACATTGAAGTTTTTTCTCCTGTCATAATTATATCCTAGTTCAAGCCCATAGATCCATCAAAACTAATGCTGCATCAACATGAAGTCAGTGTCAGTGATTATGGTGGGAAAAGGGAAAGGTTTTGTATCTAATCATAGAGTCACAGGACCTAGCATCTGGCTGCATGTTCTTTAAATACCCAAGGGCTTAAGAGGCGCCACCCCAAAGCCCCCAAGTTCATTTGGAAGAACCTGTTTGGCTCCTGGAGCTGTTTTTGYACCTCCCTACCCCAGTCCTGGAAGTGGCCTGACTTTCTGCATATTGAACCCCTTGGTGCTATTGAAGACACAGCCCATGGCRTTAAATCCCATCTGCAAAATTGCTGGCTGGGGGAAGCCTGATGTCTCCTCCCCACACTCAATTATCAAAGGAAAAAAAAAGAAAGAAAGAAAGTAAAAGAAAAACTGCAACTAGAGAAGCAATAGAGACTTCAGAGTTCAGCAGGGGAAACTGAACTTCTCTTTGATTTCTTTTTTTTCTTTTTTTTTTTTTTTGCAGTACTGGGAATTGAACCCAGGGCCTCGCACGTACTAGGCAAGCACTTTACCACTGAGCCGCACCCCCAGCCCTTCTCTTTGATTTTCAAAGCCAAACACAAACTGTAAAACCTCCTTGTGCCAAAATCACAAAGGACATCCCAGGTGGCGCCCTCTTCAACTCCTTGCTGCGCAGAGGAAACAACCTGATAAGTGTTTCCAACGTAATCCGTCCAACTAAATCATAGTTAACATGATCATAGGTCGTTATCAGCATTTCCTTACATGCCTGATGATGCACGTGCATGACTAACAATATCGCGGGCTATTGGATATCAGAAGACTGGGGAGGGATTCAAGTTATTCAACTTATCACACAGGTCAGGCTCAGTTCACCTGCTCGTTTTAACTGCAGGATATAGTTGTGGGAAATGTGAGTAAAGAGAAGTTGAAATAGAGCTGCTCCACAGTGTCCTCCACGGAAAGGATTTAATAACCTTCCACTTTGGAGGAGGAATCTCTCTTTTTGCTCCCTCTCCTTCTCTTCGGTGTGTTGTCTGGCCTTCTCTCTGCTAGCATATTTGGGGAGCCAGGTTATTTCTTCCACTACTAACTAAATCTCTTTTCAGATGGCAGTGAAAATCAACCTCCCAGCTAGTTCCACAAACCAGCTCACACTGCAGATACCTGTGTGTAACCTGAGTTCCCCGTAAACTGGACATGGTTTCCTCCAAATTCTGCCGCAGGTCAGCGATGTTCTTCACTGTCCGCAGCCGCCGAGCCTCAGGATCTTCCCCTGGAAAGATGAAAGTTAAGATAAGTTTAAATTTTAGCCAGCCCTGGTGGTGCACACCTGTCATCCCRGCAACTCGGGAGGYGGAGGCAGGAGGATCACAAGTTCAAGGACAGCCTCAGCAACTTAGTGAGGCCCTYATCAACTTAGCAAAATAAAGAATAAAAAGGGCTGAGGATTTATAGCTCAGTGGTAAAGCACTTCTGGGTTATCCCTAGTACTACCCCCGCAAAAGCAGTGTAACTTTTTGATAGACTGTAAAGTTCATAAAAGCAGTAAGCAAATATATTTGTGACTGTAGCCAGGTTTCAGCTATTGGTGCAAAATAAGGATTTGAAAGTGGATGATTGACTGAACAGATGCCCAGAGGAGGCTGTTAAATTCATGGAGATTCCTCCTCCAGGTTCCTCTGGAAGTCGATCAAGTTCAACTTGAGGAAAATGCAAAGCGCCTTAGTTGGAGATGTAAACGTACTTTCGCATRGTCTCTAATGAAGACAGGTCAGGTCTGAGCACTCCCCCAGTCATTTTCTGCCCTTCAAAAGTGTGTGGGGCACTGTTCTCTCACCTATTGGTGATATACACATCTGTCTTCCAGCTCTGCTTTACAAAAAGAGCTCACAGTGGCTCAAGGACCTGCACTTGTTAACCGCAAGTGATTCTACAGACAGGTTTGCTTTCTCCCTTGTCAGATGGACTGTGGCACCTCAGATTCTACCTCCCCTGCTTACTGGCTGCATGATCAGCTGTGAGAAAGGCACTGGTCTTCTCCTTCTTTCTGATTCCATCTTCCTAAAATGAGCATAGTAATAGTACTGACCGCATAGGGCAGCTGGGGAAGCAAACCAGGCTAAGATCCTGAGGTCCCTTTGCATGGTGCAATACATCCAGCGAGTGATGTAGAGCAGGGGGCCACCAAGAAACAGCTGGGCTTCTCTTTGGCAGAACCACAGACTTCCATTCTCTGGGCAACGTTTCCATGAGACACTTGGCCAAGCAGAGTTCAGGCTCCCGCTAACGTGCCGTAAGAAACACGCCACTCACAAGCTAGGAAGAGACGTGCCTCTCAGCACAGCCCTGTTTCAGGTTCTCTGGCTAYACCGTTGCATTCAGCCTCACAAGGGGATGAGAAGAAGGAGAATAACTATAATCCTGATTAAAGGGATTGAACATTTTCCTCCTCAGAGTAAATTCAGGGAGGGCTGAAAAGCCTGGAGAACCAAAATCAAGGGTCCTGCAAAGCCTATGACTATTTTCAAGGGTTGAGCAACATTTTAAAAGAACTCTCCCTACAGAACACAGTATGTTGGCGGCAGCAAGTGGGATTTTCATTAGATGCCAAGTAGAAGTTCCAGTCACTATCACTAATAGGGCAACGGGGCATCTAAGATACATTGCAGAATCAGGCTTCTCTTCTGATAATAACAACTTCCTCAGGTTGTTCTCGGCATGATGGTGCYGGGGGTCTGGAGGACAGAGAAAAGGACAGCCATTGGGCTTTTATGGAGGAAATTCACTACAGTCAACTCTCTAATCTTAAAAGTGCAACTGTTTTCAATTATTTGCCCCCTTTTAACCCAGAGGAATTGAAAAAGCATTTTTTTTCTTATCTGAACAGTGCTCGGATTTCCCACACAAGTCTTTAAACCACACACATATATATACACGTTATGTTTTTAAAAGAAGGCAGTGGTAAAGGTCAATTTTACCSCCTTGTGGCCTTGAACAAATATCATTGCATGTATCTCCTGGGCCTCCAATTAAATCTCTCTTATTGCCAGTTTGGCCACATCAKATCTGTGTAAAACTACCMAAAAGATACTGATCCTTTGGACAGGTCTAGGCCCTACAGTGAACATTTATTAGGAAGTCCAGGCACAACAGTTTTCAAATCAAGTCCAGTAATTAATACCCAAGAAGTATACTTACTTACCCACAACTTGATTAATGACATAGTTGCYTGTCTTAATTCTCCTTTAGAAATTCAAAGATTTGGGCTCAGTACTTGCCTATCTATCATGTGTGAGGCTCTGGGTTCTACAGGAGGGAAAAAAGGCAGGAAGGAAAGAAGGAATTCAAAGATCTCTGAGCTGAGATGGTGTTGCACCTTTACTTTTGGTAATCCCCATGCAAATATATAGATGCCTAAGAAATATTTATTGCCTAAAAAATGCTTGGTCAGCATAGGAAGAGAAAGCATGGGCTTTGCATTCCCATGAAGACGTGAATCATGGCCCTGTTTTCGTTACTCACTTGAACTTGAACAAGGCACTTAGTCTTTCAATTTCACCTGCAAAATGGAGTTAAAAACCCATTTCTCTAGAAGGGATTTGTACAAGAATCTGATGACACAGAACACATGATATACCCCCTGTAAAAGGAGAGCTCAGCAAATGTGCATGTCCTACTTCCCTCTTGGGGGTCCTGCAGGAGATGCTTGCTCCCCTCAGAGGCCCACTCTAGGGCAGAYGGCCAGGGTCAGGTAGAAACACAGTGATCCACGAGGTGTATCTTGGAGACCACATCCTGTGTGGCCCACTATGCCTCCTCAGATACTTAGCTAAAAAGGTAAGACTTTCCCACCAACTCACAACTTACAACAAAAGTTAAAACACAACCAAGCTCTGGTGGACAYTGTGGGACCCTTTCAGCTCCTAGAGAGGGCTTAAAAACTAAGTTGGCTATGCCATGTCTACACACAGCTCAGAGAAAGCTCACCCTCAAGCCACAGGCTGTGACAGAGAGAGCCCCATGTTCTGACCCTTCATGACCGAGATTGTAGGATGTCACAGTGTTAGAAAAAAGAAGATGAATGAACCTGGGATGTTGACCTGGAAGAGCATAAGGGGCACGCTGCAGCATAGAAAATGATGGCAACTGTCTATGGGCTGCAGGAGGTTGAATGATATCCAGGGAAGAGAAATAGAAGGATAAAGAACTCCATTTCTTTTTTAGGTTAAAAAAAAAAAGAGAGAGAGAGAGAGAGAGGAAGAACCTTTGTGTCACAAAAAAATATTTGAGTCAAAGCTGAAAGAGAACCTGTCAGAAAGCTATAGGAAGAACTCATGACCTGGATGTTAAGGTGTATGTGGCGCCTTCTAACTCCACAACCCAAGATGCACTTTTCAATTGTGATGCAATGTCCATGGAGACACACCATGGGAAGACCCACCCATGCACCAAGAAGGGGAAGGGCTAAGCAACTGGTCAAAGGCGCTCATAAAAACATCACTCAGTCATTTTGAGGTAGAACAGAAGACATAAGGATGGGCAGAGAAGAGACATGTGGGACAAATGAGAGTGGTGATTCAAAGTCCAGAACCAAAGTCCACTTTCATATGGGCTCAAAGTCCAGATTAAAAGGTCATTTTCACAAACTCTGGTCATAAACAGCACTGTTAAGTCAATCATTAGGCCTTATCTACAGTTCCATAAATAATTTGCTTTCTGTCTYGGACCTAGAAGAAAAGCAGGTCTGAGAATGCCTTTGCTCAACAAGTCAGTATTCTTTATCTCGAGGATCTGATGACTTCATCTATAGGGCCATCAAGCCCTCTGTGTTACAACAGTGAGGTACTGTCTACATTCAACAAGCAGAACGATAAATTTCCCTGGTGGAGAAATGATTAGCAAGTTTTCATCAAAAAACAAAGAAGAAAATAAATGCCCCTGGTAGGCAATGGTTAACTCGTCCAGTTACCAACACAATGGAGGGCTCAAAACACCCTCTTAGACCACGTCTCTGCACTATAGAGGCYACAGGTATAAATATGCCCAGCTGAAATGTAGCTAGTGCATTCCTCTCCCACACCCACACTCCATCCTGTCTCCCAGAGTGTGTACTTCTTCCTTTTTCTCAATAAACCCAATCTGTGTCTCACTTTGACCCATCCCTAAACTCCTGTCCGTGATGATAGCAAGGACCCTCATGGCCTGAGTTGAAGTTCACCTTCCTTTTGGGGAACTTCCTCAGGACCCCCCCATCCTGGTGCCAATTTCAAGTGATGGCCTGTGGACAAATTAAGTTCAACCTTGTGCCACTCAGTGTCTCCATTTAAAAAAAAAAAAAATCCATACTATAGTCACATGTGATTTCTACTGCTTAAATGTAAAGATGAGTCACCCTGCCTAAAGGAATTTTCACTAGCAACCAACTCCATTTAGCACCAGAGAGTACACGACCAGGTAAACCTGGCTGTGCAAATTGCTGCCTCAACCACTGGCAACACGTCAAGCTTCTGAGTTCTGACTTGGCTGCACAGTCTTGTGGTACAGGAGACACGGGAAGGAGGAGGAAAAYTGGTGAAAGAGGAGCCAAGGCTGCAATATGTTGCTCTGAAACCTAAGCAACATCTGGAATGTTCTCTGGATACTGGCTTTGCTTTTCAAATACCGATTTTTCTGAGACTCAATATCTGACAGGAACCCACACTACTCCATGGGATACATAACTGATCCCCGCCTGGCTCTTTTGATGKGTGCACACAGAACAGGATCTGGAATGTGTATGGAGACCTGAGCAGTCATCTGAACCTCATGTGCCTCTCCCTGGTCATTTTCCTATACTATCCATGTGCTCATGTGTAAGGGAGCTATAAGCTTTGCACAGGACATAATACCAATCCTGAATGTGGGGCCTTACCCATTAGCTAGCTCGCTTATAGATGCATTGAGGACTGTCTGCACCATCACTACACCCAGCCAGTGGACTCAGAAGGGAATGGTTAATGGTTAGGTCGCCCAGAGCCTCTGGATAGTTAAACTCAGAGCTAATGATCAGATGGGTGAACTTCAATCCAATGGGCTGCAGACCAATTCCACAGCTGCAGTGAGACTATTAAAATGGTATAGTCAAGGATAATAAATGAATTTTAAACATGGATTCAGTTTTCAACCCAACTCTGAAAGTGGCAAGATAGGAGATAAACGATACAACCACTGCCCTTACGGGAAGCCACTGGTACAGAGCACAAAGCTTGGGGACAGGAAAGGGGGACTGAAAAAGAGGAAGATGGAGAAGGTGGGAGATGGAGAAGGCGGTAGCTTGGAACATACCACAGTAAGAATTCTAAATCATGAGCTRGAGATGTAGTTCAGTGGTACAGCATGTGCTTATTAGCACACACGAGGCCCTGGGTTCAATCCCCCAGCATCAAAAAGAAAGAAAGAAAAAATCAAAACCAGATATGACCTCTCTCCTTTATATTAAGAATGTGATGTGCCGGGCACAGTGGTTCAGGCCTATAAACTCAGTGACCGAGGTAGGAGGATTGCAAGTTCTAGGACAGCCATGGCAACTTAGAGGGTCTGTCTCAAAATAAAACATGAAAAAATCTGGGAATGTAGTTCAGTGGTAGAGCATCCCTGTGTTCAAACCCCAGTAACCCCCCCACCCCCAAAAAAAGAGATACTTTAACATTAAGCTGTGGAATTAACTTCATAACAAGTGGATTTTATGTTTTTATATCATAYAATATCCCTGAAATAATAAAAATTGTTCATAATTAAATAAAACTTGGGATATTTTATGTTTTTGGTAAAAGCAGCATGCTAAAATCTTCTTTCTAATTAATGGAAAATGCTAATATATGGTAATTTGTACCTCCACAAGAAATGAAAAAAATTCAAAATTTCTGAATTCCAAATCTTGTTGAAAAGCAACTTTATCTGAAGTGCAAACATGGAGATACATAGTTAAATATCAGAGTAGCCCCGAGCCCTTAAGTAACATTGAATGTATCCTAAAAATAGAACTTGCCAACAAGTGTGAGTCTTATTTACAATTCTGGGGAGGAGTGAGAGGTTGTGAAAGAGAGGAGAAAAGGAAAAAAGAAAAGAAGGAAAATAATCGGGAGAGCAAGAAAGTTTGTTCAGCTCCTCAGTCAATGCCACCAGGTGAGCCAGGTGGTTCCTACAGGCTGCTGCTTTGGAAGCTCCATCACCAACAGATGCAGAATTTCTGGGGCTCCACACTTACCAGTCAGTTCCTCCAGAGCAGGCTGTCCACTCTTGGTGTAGTGACTAGGCTCTGTGTTCACACCCGCTGGGCTGGACTCGGCCGTGACATTCCCCTCGGTGTCCGTCTGGGACCTTCACATACAAACCAGAACAGACACACTTGTCAGGAGAGGTAAATACTACATCTGGCTGACCACAGCACTCACCATCACCTCTTTCAGCAAGATGTTTTAGAACCGAGCAGATCAGCAGACTGGCACTAAATAATTCATTAGCCACACATGGAGCAATGTCCTAAGAACAGAGAGAGCCACCGAACTGGAAAAGATGAAATATCCACTGCCCAAATGGAGAGATTCTGTCATCCCTTACTATGAAATGATCTTCTGACCCCTCCTCAGGGAGCTAGGTCTAGCCAAATACACGCTGGAGGGTGCTGGGTGGTTTGGATAATTTAACCTATGCCAAAAAGCAACTCCCAGGTAACCAGCAATACCAGCAAGTCAAGCATAAAGATGACTCCACTGACACCCCCTCTCCCCGCCCCCCCGGCAATCCTCCTGACATGGTTCTCTCTGAAAAGGTGACTGTAAAACCAGTCGGGAGTGGATGCCAAGCAGCTGTGTTTGCCCTCCAGGTCTCTGATTCAGAGCTCAGATCTTCTGACATGAAAGGTCTCATTGATCATAATTTCAACACTTGACTGAAATCTGTACTTCCCCAAACCTTCTCCAGGCCCTTATTTGTCAAGCAAATTGAGGCAACAGCTTCATGCAACCCTTCCTTGCCACAACTACCTGGGCTCATTCAGGCATGACGTGCAATGTTATAATCGGGCTCAGATGCCATGATTAATGTGAGAGTATTAATTCATTACCATCCTGGACTGATTCAGCCAGATTTCACTGTCTATGAGGAAAGAGGGGTTCTTTTTTGTTGGTTTGTTTTGTTTTTGATGCTGGGAATTGAACCCAGGACCTTGTACACTAACACTGAACTATCCGCGCCCCCACCCCCCACACACACATCACACTCCCAAGAAAGTGCTTGATAAGAATGTAGATGGACCATGGGAGATGGACTGATAAACCACCCACCTATTCTTCCCCCCTTTATCTTCCCACTGAGATCATCCTGATTTCTGTAACCGTCAGCTTTACAGCACTTTCTTAATCTCAGTAKTCTTCTCTATTCCTCATTCAGAGGACAAGCCCTCCTTATCTCTGCATACATCCTTTAAGCACCTTGAAACAGTCCAGAGGTTGCAAATGACAGCCAGGTGTAGGGACCAGCCCACACACATATTCTTATTAGCATGCATAGGAATTTAAAGTTTCCAAAATTAATTTACTATTTAAAAATTTATATATTTCACACAAGAAATTGTCTGGATATTTGCCTTCTCCCTGTAAAATCAAGGAAGTCTGGAGAGACTGAGCCCTTGTTCTTGCAGGGTGCCACCTGCTGGTGACAAGCAGTAGCTGTGCCTGCTAGAGATGTGGTACTTGGGCTCCCTCTGCCATAGCCCCACCCTCCGGGACCCACCCTTTTTGGACCCAAGCAGGCATCTGGATAGTGACCTCCATTTTGCACTCTTCCTAAGGCTGCTCTATTCCCACATGACCCTCCACTGGTCTGTATAGTACTGATGTGATGCTGTCACCCTCTGATAAAGGCCTCCAAAGGTTCCCGTCATCTGTGGTGGATGATGCCCCATGTCATGGGACTCCTCTATTTCTAGCCCCATCTCCTACTGCTCCCACCCCTTTTGCCCAACTCTGCTCCACACATGGCGCCTTCTTTCCATTCCCGATCACACCCTGTTATTACTGTGACCTTGGCCTCTAGGCCCTTCTTGCTCTTCCTTAAGTCCCCTCCTACCTTGCCTTCAAGGTGCAGTTACAGGACATGAGCCTGGAAGCCTTACCACTCTACCAGCTGATGTGTTTACCCCTGTGTTTCTACGGCTCCCTCCTTAGTCTCTTATCGCCTATTGGTTTTAATGTGATTGAATAAATCTTTTCTCAACTAGATGGAGAGTCTTTGCATGCAGTTAATTYAGTTCCTAATGCTGAGCACTGAGTAGGTGCTCAAGAAGGGCATGTTGATTGATAAATGAGAAATTTTCAAATTTATAAAGAGGCTAAATATTGGAAGGAAGGTTAGTCTTGCAATCTGAACATGCAGCTTCAAGTCTAGGGTCTATAACTTGGGAGTCATGCAAATTTGGAAAGTCACTTCACCTTTTCTGAACCCCAGAGCCCTCGTCTGCATGAGGGGCATAATAACCACCTTCCTGACTACTACAAAAATCAAACATGACACGACACAAAAGCACATAGTAAAGTGACAGATGTGTTCATTGTTATTTCTGAAGTCATAACCATAATTCATCTTGAGTGGTTTTTAAAAACAATCTATCCTCCCTTCCTCTTTGGTTACATCTTTAACTGGCAAGGTGGTGGGGTGAGCCCTGTAAGTTATACAAGGAGCCACACATAAACTTGAGAATTTTAGAGCAGGAAGGGAATGTAAAGTACTTTTAAAATCCTCTAACCTAGTTCACGCTCCTTCCTTTGCAGATGAAAACAATGAAGCTCGGGTGACTTAGAGAATCAGGAAAATATGGTGACTAAGAGCCTGGTTCCTCTAGTTAGACTCTGGTTTAAACATGAGTTCTTCTGGTTTTGAGCTCTGTGATGTGTAACAAGTTACTTAACTCATCTAAGCTTCAGTTTGCATGCACATCTGTAGTAAGGAGATTTGAGATGTAAGCTAGTTCATGGAGTGGGGGAAAAATTCAGTGAGCTAAGGCATGGAAGGTCCTTAGCATGATCTTTGCACACTCTCAGTGCACATGCAATAGCTGTACCTGCAACCAGGGCCCAGCACCACAGAGGGTGTCAGGAGTTGAGAAAGGACAGGGCCCCCAGTGTCCCAACTCCTCTCTAGGTACTCTTCTTCCCAGACTCACCTAAAGAACAATCTCAGAGGGGGAGAGGACCTCACCCAGTAAGCATTCACATTAAAAGAGGAGTGGCAGAGGCACATCCCAGAAGTTTTTCCTTCCTTTATCACAGACATTTGTTCTTCATCACTACGAGCTTTTCTTTTTCTCACAACAAACTTGAAATAATAATAGTGATGTTAATCTTGCAAGTGATTAGTCAAAGTAAAAAGTGGAATTGACAGTGATCAAAGACTTCCATATATTCTAGTTATGAGAATGCCAACCAAGAATCTGTGAAGAGTACTTTGTGCATTGCTTCAAGTCTATTARTGCTATTGGAATTATAAAACTTTCATGGGGAGCTATTCTTTGCATGCATACAACTGGCTGAGCCATTATCTAAGCCTTGGCCCTCTTCTCAGCAGTGTTAGCAGAGCTGATGACTTGATTTAACAAAATAATAACCTTATCCCAATTAAAAAGATCCATGTGACCCTCACTGAAGGGGAGGGCATGCAGAAGAAAACAAAGGAGGGGCCAGGTGAAACCTGACATCCCTCACTGGCTGGGCGCCAGCTGGCTTTACTATTGGCAGGAAATGTAATAGAGCTTACTAGAACACAATTTGGGAGGGGAGAGGGAATATCTAATTCTTTGGGGAATTATACAGATGTGGGATACTGAAAGTATGGTCATGAGCCTATGTACCTGAACAGATATGTACACACATATATGCACTTACATTTGATGTGTGAATGTACATTTGGGCCCATACTCAAGTGCGACAGTTTTATGTGTCTACTCCTAAGGGTGTATGAGTGTGTGKGTAGAGCTGTCTATGTGTATGCATTTGGGGTGAGAGCTGTAAAATAAGAGGGTAAAATATGACATTCCACCCCTAGTCCCTTTTGCTATGTACAGGTGTTAATTCTTGTCCAGCTGGGTGATGTGGCCAAAGTCACTACATGTCTCCAGCACAGCATTGAGTTGAATGCAGTGAGCAAAAGCTCTGGGGCTCCCTCAAGAGCAATGCTGAAAGGCTGCACTACCCAGAGTGCTCATGGATGTGCAGCACACCAGGAGCCCAGGGCACTCAGCAGCCAGAACCCCAGAGCGAGCAGCACCTGGCCCAAGGCCCCCAGAGGTCCTGTGGATGTACCATCAGAGACAGGGCTGGGAGGCTTATCCCCTCAGTCAACACAGGTCCTATTCTAGAACTGGTCCCTCCCTTACTACTCTCCTCTATTCAGTCTCCCTCTCAAAAAGCCCTGGCACACACAGGGACTGTAAGGATTGGGAAGTTCAAGACCAACACTGCTATGAGAAGTCATGTCGATTGCTCAGCAAGGTGGTTTTCATGGTTTCTTTTAAAGTTTGTGTAGGATGTATTATGGCTTATGCTGGGTGACACCAAACTGCCCAGCCTACACATTCAGGACTTCATGCTGTGGCTGCTCCTGAAATGCCTTGGTCCCCAAAGCCTGTTGAACCCCTGCTCACGCTGGGAACAGCTCACATTTTACTTCTCCTCTTTAGTCTCTCTCTGACCTTCCCCAATCACACCATGGGAATTGTCCCCTCCAGTGCACCGTACATGCCTCTATATGGTTGAATCACATGGCACCTTAGTGCTTGTTTGTTCCTGGAGGGCAGTCACAACCCCGCCCTCATAGACAAAGAATCCACCAACCAGGYTCTTTACCTGGTGGCCCAAGAAGGCAACGTGTGCTGCTCCTACCTGTACAGGAAAGGTGCAACCGTGGCAGTGTTGGGGTGGTTGTATTGCTGCTGTGGCTGAGGTAGCTGGACACTGACGGTATTGCTTCCTGTGGTCTGGGTGGTCCCAACGGATCCACTGACAGTCTGGCTGCTGATGCTGTGGTTCAGAGTGGCCCCTCCTGGGCCTTTTCCCTCTGAGGATGCCAGGCTGGAGGAGGAACTGGAGTGTCTGCCATCTAACTGGGGCTTCTGTGGGGGGAGACCAGAGCTTGGCTTGCTGCTCCGGTTCCGCTCCCCTTCCTTGGGAGGCACAGGGGCACTTGGGGACTTCCCAGGCATACTCTTCATTCCTGGTTTTGGTATTCCACTATGGGATGGGGCTGTGGCTTCTTTCTTGGCACTGCTGAGCTTCCCCCCTTTGGGGATGAAACTGGCGATCTTGGAGGACTTTTTTGGCATCTCGGTCATAGCTGTTCCACTGGGCTCTTCCTTGGGCTCCTCCTTGAGGTCTGGCCTGTCCGTCACCGAGGCTCTCTTGGTGAGGTCCTTGCCTTTTTCCTTCTCCTTCTCCCGCTGCTGTTTCTCCTTTTCTTTCTCACTRCCTTTCGGAGAGCTCTTCTTGTTGGTCAGTGCCCGGCTGAAAGTCCGCTGGGCGATGCCCTTGAGTGCAATCTTGGGGCTGCTGGATGTGGAGCCCGTAGTGGACAGGGCACGGCCAGCAGCCTCCAGCTCTTCGCTCTCTTCGAAGCTGGGTAGGATCTCCAGCCGCTCACAGCTTGTGTCTCGGGACCCTGGCCCCTCACCTGCCTTGGAGCCCCCTTTACTATTGAAAAGTTTTAGCTTTTCCAGCATGGACTTCTGGTTGTTGGGGGCTGGTTTCATGGCTTCTGGTGTGGGCCTGGGGGTCTCGGGCCCAGGAGGCTTCACTGAGAGCATGGATGATGTGGCACTGTGCTTTACGCTCAGGGACTTGCTGCGCCAGGGCTTGGAGGCCGCACCGGGCTGGGGGATGGCTGAGGAAGTGCTGCAATTAGCGGGGATGGAGGGGCTGCTGCTCTCCAAGGAAGCAGGTGCATTTTCGCTCATTCCGGGGTGGGAGGAGGCTGAGCTCGCCAATGGCTCTGCAGAGACAGGAASGGAGGGAGACCTGAATCATATCTGCTGACCTGTTTCAGAGATATGGGAAGGCTGGCCAGGGCTGCAGAGCCAATCACTCCCAACCCAAATGCAGTACGGCTCCATTACCTGCTTTGTGGATTATCTGTGGTTAACATYTAAATCCTAGCTCAGCTTTCTCCTGTTCTCCACCAAGCATAGTCCAGGCCTCCCCTCCCTACACCCCATCACATTTTGATGCCGAGCACTGTGCGAATRCAGACCAATCTTCACAGTAACATGCAAAGAGCATAATTAAGAATATAAATCTACCAAAAAAAAAAAAAACCAAAAGCAAAAACCCTTACCAACATCAACCACCACAGTGATGTGAGAAACCTGCAGGAAATATTCACAACTTTGAATTATTCAACCTATAGTTCCATTTTACCAGTTGTGCAAAAGAATCAAGAACTATTAATTATTAGTAACTTTTAAGGAAACAATGTAGCAGAGACATTAAAATAAAACACACACACAACCTAGAAAGGAAGGAGAAACTGGGAAGAATCATTAGAGAAGAATGATTATCCTCAAAAGTTGTTAAATCCTATCAAAGCATGGAAGTTTTTTAAAACAGTCACAGACATGATTCACGTTAAACATTGAAAAAAAAGAACTTTTTTTTTTTTTTTTTTTTTTTTTGCTTAAGAGCACAATCTATGCACATGGTTTCCCTGAAGGCAAGAAAACATACAGGTCATCTGAAAGTCAAGGCTTCCCCCTGGCGCTCAGTGAGTGCTTCCCTGGCCAGAAGCTTTTCTCAGAAATTCCTCAAAATATCTCCAAACAAGGGCCAGAATTATTCTGGGAAGTATAGACTCCAACAGGGAGTTCTGCTAGCCACCAAGGTGGCCAGGTGGCCACAGAAATGAGTACTGCAGCCCTCTTCTTCAGGCAGCACTGGATGATGCAGCTCTGCCTCCCTGATAAGGGGAAAGCAGCAGGGGGACATGGAGGGCACCCTGGGCAGGGCCCAGTGCTCTCATACCCCAGGACCCACCATRCAGAGCAGACAGGATGTGTCCCTTCAGCCCCTGAAGAATGCATATGCATCTGTAAAGTSACAATGACAGGACTTACCTAGCAGCAGCCACTCTCTCCCACAACGATTCCCTAGGAAAAAGTTTCCAACCAGAGAAGCTGCCCTTCCAATTGTCACAAGTGTTTTCAGTTAAACTGCTCATGTTTCTAATTAAGTTTTGTCATCCACAACTCCTCCAGTGCCCAGCAGCCTGGYGGGATCAACGGCTGCTGCTTCTGCTGTTTTTTTCCCCCGCTTTCCTAATACCTACGATCCGCTGCCTTCTAGCAACAGAGTAAACTGTATATAGATGGCTTTTTATGATTTAAAAGTCAACGGCCGCTGAGGCTGAGTGGAGCAGCCCCGTGTGGGGCGTGAGCTGCTCGGGGCGGAGGAGCTGCCTCCCTTCACCCTCGCCAGTACAGGGAAGCCGCAGCTCGGGGTGATCCAAAGCAGACCTCCCAATGTTTTAAAACACATACATCTTCCTGACTTACTGAGGATTTGGGTTTGGAGGGGAGGGTGCTGCACAATCCTCCCTAACAAAACTCAGGCGTTGTTGGATCTTTTCCTGGGGAGAGCCAGAGACTGCTTGGAAATAGACTCGGGGAACCCACCCACACTGCTGGCCTGTCAGAGGGTCTCCACAGGCTTGATGCTCCCCCTGGGGGCCTCATGGGTATCAGGAGGCACAGTACTCAGTGCACTATGAAGAGGGGAACACAGCTTCGATTTTATAAGGGGGAATTGAGACTAAGYAGGGCTATTGAGTGACTTTAAGTCATCCAGCTAGAAATGCACAGATCTCAGATTTGAACCCATTTCTTCTCTGAGATTTGAACCCACTTCTCCTSACTTCTTAGGGACACAGCTTCACTGCTGTCTCCTTTGATGAAGAGCATGTATAAACAACAGTCACTTCAACAGTCACTGTTGGGCCCCTGCCTTTTCTTCTTGTGTGTTGAAGACATCCATGGTAGGGCACAGACTAGCCCTGCCACCTAACAGGAAGCARCCTGTACCACAGAGGAGGTTCTCTGGCTAATATAAAAAGTGACCCTCCAGTCCTAAGTACCGCTTCTCTTAGGAAAACTGCCTTTAACCTTTACCCAGGATCATCATCCATTCATTCAATATACCAATATCCACTCATTCATCAAGCATCTGATATGCATCAGGCACTGTTTCTTGGGATACACCTGTGATAAAACAAAGACGTCTGCCTTCATGGCATTTACATTCCAGCAAAAGGAACAAGTAACAATTAATTAATCATATCATTTATAGGAAAGTAAGTGCTAAAGAAAAGTAAGGAGAACTTAGGGACAGGTTGCAGCACTATCCTTGCAGGACCTACAAGTTCACATTCAGAGATACATCCTTCTTTCCAGGCATAATCCCCATGTGTACCTGGATCTGTGTGACACCYCTGCTAGGAAATCCTATGAAACTTGCTCAGAAATGGTTTTGACAAGAAATGTTCCTAYCTATCATTTTCTATGCATTTTTTTTAAAGAGAGAGAGAGACAGAGAGAGAGAATTTTAAAATTTATTTTTTAGTTGTCGGCGGACACAACATCTTTTGTTTGTATGTGGTCCTGAGGATCGAACCCGGGCTGCATGCATGCCAGGCGAGTGTGCTACCATTTGAGCCACATCCCCAGCCCCTCATTTCTATGCATTTTTAACACTAACAATCACAACTAGAAATTAACCAACAACTAAGTGGCTAACAACTAACCCCCAAAAAAAACAAAACAAACAAACAAAAAACCAGTCACCTGACATGTCTACATGAAATGGCCAAACTCAATGGCCAATATGGCTTGTGCCCTCTAGGAACTCATGGGTTAGGGGTGTAACAGACCTCAAAAGGTGCCAGAGGAATAGGAAAAGAGTGGTGGAGGGCTACCTTTGGTACTCTGGGAACTCTGGGAACTAGAGGTGGCTCCCCTAATTCCCTAGAAGTTTGAAAAACCTTCCTGGAGCTTCAGAATTTCTCCTTGTTGTTTAGGCTGGGCTCCCCTGGTTACAGAACCAGGGACACTTGAGAGCTAGTCATTATAGCTATGAAAGGTAGACCTGGAGGTGATTTTGGACTTAAGTTTCTGGAGCTGAAGTCTTCTGAGTAGGGATGGAGGGCAGCAGGACATCTGAGGACCAGGTCAACCACACTTTGCACTCATGTCCCTCACATAGCAAAGCGGGCATAAGGTAACCAGTGGGCTTGTCTATGGCAACTGGATACATTTCTGTCATTTCTATCAGATCAGCGATTCTAGATCTTGACTGAGTGGCTGTCGAGGGCCTATTCTTTCTTTGGAAAGAAGCCATTTCTAATACCAGGGTCCTCCGACTCCTGGCATTAAGGCTTTCCTCACAAGGCTTCTAAGAAATGAGATAAATGCAAAAGAGGCAAGCCTCACACTTTGTCACCCACTGAGGGTGGAATCCTAGATAGGCCATTTTGCTTTGTTGGACATCAGTCAACCCATCTGTAAAAAAAAAAAAAAAAAAAAAATAGGGTGCTATGGCTCCAGTCCTTCCAGCTCTGCTCCTATTGAGATCTCAGAGAGTTTCTGAGAGGACCTAAGAGGCTGAGCCAAGGCCAGTCTTGTACTGTGGGGCCCCATTGGCTCAGCCCTCACTCAGTGGGTTTTATCTTTACCCTGTGCAGTAACATTCAGTGTGTTTCTTAATTTTCAAATATTTGCTCTCCACAGTTGTCTTAGATAATGTTTACTAACAGATGGAGAAAGCTGGCTGGGTCAAGGTATAGTCGACCTTGAAGGAATCTCCCTTGTGATTTCAGAAATTCTGGAGTCCTAAGAAAACAAGCCTGGAGGAAGGAGGGTGGGGTGAGTTTCTTAAAATTAAACTGCAATTCTCTCCCTAATAACTAACAGTTCTAGTTTTTTTACTTATGCATATGAACCTTTGTTAAAGCAAAGGAAGCTAAAAGGGAGTGGGGAAATGCATAAAAGAATGTTCTGGACATCCTATTCCCCAAACAGTGGTATCTKGGCCAAGAAAGAGGTAAGTTACCTTGAATGGCACAAGGATGACTATTTTTAACTTTTAAAAGTTTTATGCTTATTTCATTACCTATTAGAAAAAGATAACTAACCCATACATAAATGAACAATTTCACACATATTAAATGTAGATTTAAAATTTGAGTTGATTTTTTAAAAAAAGTATAAAATAGAAAACACAAGTGGTTCCCGGACTGGGCAAAAGTCATGCAGAGGTTTGTGAGAGATGGAAATTGGGGAAAACTGTTATGTTATATCAGGACATACTTTTATTTTATATTAAATCTGTTGTTTTAGAAAAYGAATGACCAAATAGAAATTTAAAAAAAAAAGACTARGTTAAAAACTTATTTGAAATGGCTACTTTTTAGAGCTTATTTATACATATTCAGTTAGCGTGTGATATTTTTGTAAAGAATGGCCAAGATTCTGCAACAGACCTAGCCTTTGTTGAGCCAAAGATAATTTTAAGATAATGGCTTTACCCATTTTTTGACTATTAAAAAATATAGTTAACAGTGATGCAGTACACCCTGATCCAGTAAACACCCACACATCCATATGTGAAACTGAAAAATATCAAGTTGTACTCTTGTTATGTACAGTGGACTCTGGCATCTTCTACCCTGCTCTAATCTACAAAAATGGGGACAGCAAAGTCCTTAATTAGATTTTATGACCCATTAGTAGGTCCTGCCCAGCAGTCTGAACATCTCAGCTCTAAAAGACCAGCTTACTACCAGAGGAAAAGTCTCATCTGAAGAACTGCAGACAAGATCCCTTTGAAGAAAAAAAAAATACTTTTTTTTTTTTTTTAACGGTTTAGAGAGAGCATTAATCCTCCACTAGGGAGGGAAAAGGTTTGGTGTTTCTGGCAACCAGCCTTAACCTTCCCTGACAGGAACCA